AATTATTGATGCTATAATTGGTAATAATTTGCTTAGCTCCTGGTTTGGAGTTAGATCTGTACAGCCGGGGTTGGTTGTTCAGGTTTGGTTGGGCCTGTGCAGCATTAGGGTGCTGTTCAGTGTTGATTAAAATTGATGATTAATTACTCTACTGTTTTACTACTCTTAAATCTTTGCTAAATGCTGTTTTTGCAAATGAGCCTATATTATGCCATCCTTTGGTGTCCTTGTGCACTTGCATATTTGATGTGTGGCTTGTTGAGTATGTCATATGCTCATTCTTGCAATAATCAATCAACCTCAGTTGAAGAAAAAGGATCCAGAAGGAGAAAACGTTTGGCTTATACCCCAGTTGAGTTGCCTGTGGGAGTGGAGCTGAAGCCATCGCTAGACTGTTATTCCGCTGCCGTTGTTTTTCTTTTCTTTTGTAAGTATGTAACGTTATTATTATGATGGATTTGTATATTAAATTGTCAGTTTGTGTACCTCGGCTGATTCCTGGACGAGGATTTTATGCACAAATTAGTTCGGAAATTATTAGTGAATTTCCGGGCGTGACATATACTAGCTAATATCCTCTATCCGATGCCCTCCTGGTACTTCGAGAAGCCACCCCTGACTGCCGAGTTCCTTATGACAGCCCGTCATGACCATCCAACCGGGGCTAAATACGGAGGAATATCCTCCCCAGGAAATTAACTTAGGATTATATATAGGTGCGGAGGAATACCCGTACTGAGCTGTCACCATCAGCGGTCCACCTCTTATCCGCAATATATAACCCCAAATAATGATATCCCGTAATCTAGACACCACGTCTAAACTACCAGATACTACTCTAATATCATCGTCATGACATAGAGTAATTGCATAAGCAAACACTATACTCGCACTAAAACATCTCCCAGATAAGCTAGCAGCATATTCAGTATAACAAGAACATAATGTAAAGTTGGTACTAATATACTCGGAAAGTATTTCAATACCAGAAATGTATTTAGAAGAGTATTCTAATAAAAGTACAAAGTTTACAAAAGAGGAAAGGAAAGCTACCAGAGCCATACCCGAACTCTTCCGAAGACTTCCGGACTCCTGATTCCTATTCTAATTCTATTCCACCAGCTAGATACTACTAAACTAAACCTGAGAGGAATGAGAGAGCTATTGCTTGAGGTGTGTGAGTGAAGAGAGAAGGTAAAGTCCTTCTATAGCTGAACTATGACAGTTGTGACGGTTGGAATGGTCGGGAATACCCTCCAACCATCATTGGGGCTTCATTTCTACCGTTCAGCCAAAACCTAGATCCAACGGAGGCGAGGGAGGTCTGGCCGAACCACCAGGTTCGGCCGAACCTGGGGCTGGCCCAATCCAGCCCAATTTCGGCTGGCAGCCTGCTCTGCTGCTTCACTTTGTAGACTTGTGAATTTTGGCCTGATTCATTATGTCAAGTCTGCGTTCTTGGCCCATTCATACACAAGTCTGGTTCCCGACATCGTCCGATTGATTTATCGTATGAGTTGATGTCGATTCTCCTTCACTTTATTGTTGTTCTATGCAAAAGGTTAGTAGACCTAATACTAGCGGAATATTATTATTCTAACATATTTATGCATTGCAAGTATCACTAGTTCTCTCTTGTTTTCGAAATATTGACGGTCGAAACTGATCGATAACGACTGTCAACAATCACCCACAACAAATCATACTCAACAATAACAAAATTCATCCACAAATTCACAAATCATCGCCACCTGTCGTCACCTCCCAGGGCGCTGCCACCTCCCAAGCCTGCCGTCGCCTGGGGCTTGCCGCCACCTCCCAGGGCGCCACCCCGCATCACCGCCTACTGCCCGCTGCCAAGGAGGGAAGGGGAAGGAGGGGCAGAGCGCCACCACCCCTCGGATGCCTCCCGCCGCCGATGTTGCCCGCCGCCATCGGGCCCACCCTGCCCACCCACTGCTAGTAGAAGCCGAGGAGAGGGGAATAGAAGGTGGGGGAGGCTCTGTCGACGCTGCCACCCATTGCCATCGGGCCCGCCCCACCCGCCCGCCTCGAGTAGAAGCCGAGGAGGGGAGGAGAGGGGAAGGGGAGAAGATAAGGAAGAGAAGGGGGAAGAAAAATAAAGGACGCACGCGCACAGCTCTTTCTCTACCATGATCTTTCTTTTCAATCTTTAGTCCGGTTGTTATACCAACCGATAGTAAAGTGTTGATCTTTAATCCCGGTTGGTAACACCAACCGGGACTAAAGATGGTTGGTGGCTTGACACATACCTGACAACAATCGAACCGGAACTAAAAATGATCTTTAGCCCCGATTGGTGTTACCAACCAAGACTAAAGATCATATACTAAAGATCATAAAGTGCCGTTGGGCTTTTGAACCGGGGCTAAACATATTCTTTAGTCCTGGTTCCTATTTGAACTAGGAAAAATGTGATTTTCGCCATCTGGCAAAGATTAGTTCTCTAGGAGTGTATAAAAAATATGCTACATAAATATTTTGTAATAATTAAAAATAAATATTAATTTCTTAGTCAAAACATAAATTCCTTCATAAATTATATCACACAAACTCATAAATATAATAGTCTTATATAACAAATTTTTACACTCCAACAATTAATAAACCCTATATTCTTCATGCAGAAGGCAAACTAGAATGTTTAATAGGAATTTATCAGTCAACTAATGTCTAATTGAAATGTATGGAAATGATCCAAATTAAACTTTGAGGGTAGGGATGCGTAAGGATTGGGCCGAGTATATTGTTGGAGGGACATTGGTAATTTTCTCTATGATTTAGGCGAGAACTAAGCAATTAAAAACCAATCGTACATTGTTATGCTGTTGCTCAATCTATACTATAAAGTTACAACTCACTACATCCTAACACTCACCATGTAAAGATGACACATCATCGTCCATTAGCAATTATTACATTTTAGTCCTTATACAAACATGCTATATCGTCTATATTTTATTATATTTTAAAGCTTTAAATTACAAGCTTGTTATAATTATCTCACATAATTTATATAATATTTCAACATACATCTCTCCACCATTTTCTACAATATCCTATATACATTATACATCATCGCCACTTAGTTAATGTTTTCTATCTTCTCTCATTAAACCACATCACCTCAATTGTTTCAGTCATTTAGATGATTAATCTATAATCCAAATTATTTCCCTCATTTTTCTTCTCTCATGAATCCGCATCACCTTACTTTTACTTTTTTTATTATCAATCTATATAGTATATATTTAAATTATCATAAACCACATCAACTTAAATGGTTTATAGCATTTTCCAATGATCGAAAAAAATACAAATTATATAAGCTTACATAATCTAAATATATTACACATTATATTTACTATTATCATACTAAACTTCTGCAGCAACGCGTGGAGTTCCATATAGTTAGTAAGAAGTATGAGTCACAATAAAGATACTAGAAAGTATACTTCAGATAACACCATTGAAATATAGCCTAACTGGCTGCTAGAGGCAAAGAAGAAAATGCAAGGGTTGGTAAGAACAATAAGGTTGTGTTCCTTAGCTTGGCCCAGTTAAGAGAGATATTTTCAGCGCACGTAAAACAAGAAAACTCATTAGCACATGATTAATTAAGTACTATTTATTATAAATTAAAAAAAATGGATTTATATGATTTTTTAACAACTTGTACATATAATTTTTTGTCAAATCGACCATTTAGCAGTTTAAAAAGCATGCTAATAGAAAACCATGAAGTTAAAGTTTAGAGTTAAGAAAAAAGAACTGGGTCGTGCCCAATTTAATCTCCCTCTTTTTCCATGCGAAACTATTAAACGATGTGGTTTTTTTGCAAAAAAAAAACGTTATATAAAATAGTTGTTTTAAAATCATTTTAATCATTTTAAAGTTTTTTTAGCTAATAATTAATTAATCATACGTTAATTCATCGTTTTGTTTTGCGTGTGGAGGGGAGAGGCCTCCAAAAGAACGCAGCCTAGAAAGAAAAGATTTTTCACAGGCTCTGGGACTTGTAGGCCATATAGCCTGATGATTGCAAGCACTAATTCTCTATGAATAAGTCCATTATGTGTCCCTTCACTTACCTTGATCGAATCATATCAACTTCAAAACTAGGTATGACATATGTTCCCCAACTTTAAAAACCGATGCAAATCGATTCCTTCAACGGTTGGGAAGCTGTTTTTATTAGTGGGCAAGTTGACCACGGTAAAACCTGGTGAATATATTCTCATTAGTATTTTAAATCTGGCCCAATATATGCTGGCCAGCTTAGGGCTTAGCCCAAAGATGGGTTTGCAGGTCAAATCTCATTGCCCAATATGACGGTATTTTCTTTCTAGATAGTTGTATTGTCGTTACTTCATCTACACACTGCACATATATAACTGCTATATTCGGCAGAAACATATGGAACCGTTGCTAGGAGGCCGTGTCAATTTGTACACATGTATCAACCGCAACACAATAGTCCTGCTTGGTAAATAGCCTGGGCCGAAACTGGTATAAAAGGACAACTTAATTTTGTGAAATTACGTACATAAATTAAACTATAGAATCGGCGTACGTAAAATAATGATTCGAATCGGCGTTATCATAGCTTGACATAATTTGGAAGCTCTTACGTACATACGGAACTTCCATGCGATTATTCACGTTACTATATATATATAATCGATCTTATATTATTCGATTATTCACGTTACTATGATCATGTATGCCAGGGAGTATGTATGTAGTATAAATGTAGTTCTATTTGGAAGCTAGCTAACCCTTACTCTTAATACCTTCTTATAAAAATAAGATTGTTGGGTTGTACATATATATAGCCCTAGTTTAATTAGTTCTGAACATTTAGAATGACAGATCCTTGCAGAAAATTTTATTAATATGACTGCAAAAAAGAATTGGAATATACAAATGAACCTAACCTAATAATATAGGTTGTCCACCAACCATACGAATGCATGCCGTTCCAATAATTAACTTTTTTTAAAGGACACATAATACTCATCAAATCATACCGTGTAATCAATTTATGCAAATTGTATGTTGTAATCAACAAATATATAATTCATCTGCTTCGCTGATTGATCTCATGCAAGCACATATACACCTGGCTATATATATGCACAATCTTATAAATATACGAAAATTTAATTCGCCGCCGGCGTGATCTCATGAACACCGTGGAAGGTCCGCCGGCGGTGGCGGCACGGATGTCTCCGGCGTCGGCCCGTCCAAAACCTCCAACACCATGGCCAGCCCAAGGCTAATATGAGCGTCGAAGTGGCAGTGCATGTACCACATCCCTGCAGCCAAATTAAATAATTATAATCCACAACTTAATTAATTATCTCTCACGCTAAACCAATGCCAAATAATGCGTCCTAGCTTGCTGCCAAATACAGAAGGACTAGGGATGTCAATATTTGGCCCCATAATGGATAGATTAAGGTGTACTAATTTTAACAGAAAATTTGTCCCTTATGGAGTCTATCAGTTTAGTCTATCTGCAATAATACAATATGGTTGAATGCACTGGTGAATACTAGTTCGTATTTAAAATTTAGGTCCACAACTTCATATCTGGTAAATCTGTAATGTTCAAATTATTATAATTAGAAAATCCGAAATTGAGAATTCCTATACAACTTATATATTTTTGCTGATCCTAAACATCAATATTGTTGAATAAATAAATAAATATTTTTTTTACTTGAAACTCAGTACAACTTATGTTATTAATTGATACCAATAATTTTAATCTAAAATTAAAATTCTGCAGGATTATACAACTAGGTTCAAATTAATGTACGAAACCTTGGAGTTTTGTTTAGTTGTGTTTAGGAAATGTATTTATCATGTCACTCTCCTACATGGGGCACTGGTTTCCAATGTCACCAAAAACACATTTCATCACAGTACTGGAAGAAGGTTCTATGCTTCCTGCAGGCATCCATCCGGCAGAGACAAAATTTTGTAATCGTAATTTGTTTACCTTTAAAAAATTGATGTAACAGTAGTACTAGTAATTACCAGGATTGTCGGCGACGAAGCGGATGACAGCCCAGCCGCCGGTGGGCACGGCGATGGTGTTACGTTCCTGAGGGTCGACGAGGTTGAACCTCCTCTCCGCCCTCCTCTTGTCGTAGTTGCCGAACCCTTGCGCGAGGATGAAGAAGTTAAATCCATGGATATGCATCGGGTGGCTCTCTTTCGCGATCAGCCGCGTGTTCTGCAGCACCATCTCCACCGTCTCGTTGTACCGCAGCGTCTTCACCTTGGTCGACTTGGTCGTGAACTGCATCGTCGCGTTGTCGCTCTCGTCGCCGGTGTAGTCGAACACCACCGGTGGCGTGTCCGGGAAGTCGCGGGTGTAGACGCCGGCCGGCTCGCGCCTGAAGTGGGCCTCGAGAAGGGAGGTGTTCTTGGGGACGACGAAGGAGGCGTTGTTCATGCTCGACGAGAACACCGGCGGCGCGCTCCGGTTGCAGAGCAGCTGCTCCGGCTGGCACAGGGAGACGCCGAGCCCGACGGTGACGTACATGTGGGTGTCCACGGCGAGCGGCACCGCCGACGGCTTGCCGTGGCGCAGCAGCGCGGTCATGCCGGAGAAGAACCGGTGCGCGGTGGCCGTGTCGTTGACGGGCGGCCGCCGCGGGAGCACCGGCGGCCGCCACCGCACCGTCTTGCGCCGCGCGCCGGCGTACTGCAGGATGGCCGTGGCGGTGGTGTCGCTGAACGGCGGGCCCTGCGGGATGGCGCTGTCGTACGGCGACGCCGCCATGTAGTACCGCCCCACGGCGGCGCTGGCCACCATGAGCGCGTCCACCGTCTGCCCCGGCGAGACCACCACCACGTCCGTCTTGTACGGCTTGGTGTAGCACGCGTCGGCCCCGACGACGGTGAGCCGGTGCTTCGCCACCTTGAAGAACAGCGGCGTGTTCATCCCGGCGTTGATGATCCGGAGCAAGTACGTCCCGTTCTGCCTCACCTCGAACTTGGCCGTCTCTGCGCAAGCAAGCAAACACAATCACCATGTCAAACACCATGGCTGATCATGCCAAGCTTTTCACCAACAGCAATGTCGACGTACGATTAGGGGCGGAGCAGTTGTAGAAGTCGCCGGGCTTGCCGTTGATGGTGTAGGCGTCGGCGTGGGGCGCCGGGATGCCGGTGAGGAACGCCATGCGCTCCATGTCGTAGACGGTGGCGTTCCACCACTCGCCGAGGATGACGACGTGCTCCTTGTCGGGCTTGGGGAACGGGTAGGCCTTGGCGCCGCCGCGGGGCCTGATGACGAGTGCGCCGTAGACGGTGGCGCGGTGGAACGAGACGTGGGCGTGCCACCACAGCGTGCCCTCCTGCCCGTCGACGTTGAACCGGTACGTGTAGTTGCCGCCGGGCTGCACCGGGCACTGCGTCACCATCGCCGGACCGTCCGCCCACGGCGTGCCACGTTGGAGCACACCATGCCTACATTAATGCAATAATTAATAAGTTTCGAAATGTCTGAAATTTCCATAATTTCGGATCCCCAGCAAGTCAATATCTCGACCAAAATTTTAGGCTTTTCTCAAATTTTTGTGAATTTAGTCAAATTCAGTTATTTTTTAAAAAATTTCAGAAAGATTCGGCCGAAAAAATACCGGTTCTAGAGAAATGGCCGAAACTTTAGCCGAAATGGAAATTGAAAACCCTGACTAGTAATATTCTACTACCTTCATAAACGATCGATGATGTGACGAGTTTGATGAGTTGAATATTTACCAGTGGAGGGTCATGCTGTATGGCGAGGTGTTGACGAGGTGTACGACCACCGTGTCGCCCTCGCGAGCGTAGATCGTCGGGCCGGGCAGCTGGCCATTGACGGCGGTGATGATCAGCGGCGGCTGGCAAAGTTGGCTGATGGAGAAGTTGCCAACCTGCAGATGAAATGGAGCATTGTAAAAACTCTACTAACTAGAATTATTACTGTTTATTAGTTCATCAGCTAGTGGTGATTTGTTGAGTAATTAACAGTAAGGATTTTGCATTTGCTTGTAAACAAAATATGACTTTGTAACTACAGATGTGTCAGTGCATATGAAATTTTTTTTTTAGAATAGTGCATATGAAAATATGAATGAGTGATACACCACTGTATAGTATTCTGTACTACTAATCTAAAAATGAAAAAAGAACGGTTGGCACGTACCTGTACGTAGCTCGGTGGACAGAGAGTAATTAATTAAACAACAAGTAGATATAAACTAAAGTATAGATTAGTGTAACGACAAGATATTATCACATGCATGAACTAATGTTAGCATCCTAATATCACATGAATATAAATGTAAACGAATGACATGAAATTAAATATATACATCTAATGCATGAACAAAATGACAAACTGAAGGAAGGAATTGCGTGCACATATACGAGTAGTGTGAGTCAGCTTAATTACATTGAAGGTGTGCTCCACAACAGCAGCCTGAGCAACTGAAGAAACCAAAGCAATGGCAATGAACAGCAGAAGAGACCAGTGAAGAGTCATGCTAATGTATATCATCAATTGGCTAATTATAACAGGAGGTTATTAGGGCACAAGAGAGATTTGATTTGTGGCCTAATTACTGGGGGAATGGAGATCGACTACAAACAATTGTAGCAATTGTGTGAGCTTTACGAGTCCAAAGTGAAGGAGTTATATAGAGAGAAGTTCGACCTGACCCAACTCAATCAGTGGTGGTAGCTATAAAAGACATTTAGTACATAAACAAACATTCCTATACAATGATTGAGAAAGAGGCGTGCTTACTGTAACATATACGTATTTATACATATTAATATTGTTTATTTTCAACTAGCATAAAAACAATCCGGCATAATCGTATTTAAAACATACTAGAATTTGTTAAAATGTCATGCTTGTAACAGTAGAGTAGCTTATATACAATGTAGGTTCGATTTTCTGTAACCAAAAAAAAAAATAAATGATGGAGATGCAGTATCCTGATTACCTGCAGATGATGTGCACCTGCTAGGAATGGCCCATATATAGACCGTAGTGTTGCTTAGTCACGGTACATTTTAATTAGTAAAATATATCGTTACTTCAAGATTACGTTTTAGTTAGTAGAATAATGTCGTTATGTAAAGATGGAATCTAATCAAATCTGTAGTCATGTATTAATCCTAAATGTAGGATGCTCGCCTTGTCCTTCGTATATTTAGGGATAACTAAGGGCTCGGTAAAGAACTTCTGCATGCCACAAATGTAATTCTTAGTAGTTATAGTTGGCCATAAGGCCCGAGGTCTGAAGGCCCAGCCCACGGCACGCCTTTTTGGCCCGGCCCAAGCACGGCACGGCCCGACCGTCAGGCCGTTCCTGGGCCTCCCCATCAGCACGCTGGGCTGGCCCGGCACGATGGGCCAGCAGGCCAGGCCCGGTACACAAAGTATAGGGACAAAAAATAGACATATAAATGTCACTATCTAAAGAATAGGGACCTTAAATAGACTTATTCTAGCTATTTATATACCACATCCCAAAGAAGAGGGAGGTAAAATAGACTTTTTTAGCTATACATATGTCACAGCCCAATAGGAGGGAGGAAATTTAGACTTATTCTGAGGAAAAGCACGACGGCCCATCGTGCCTTCGGGCCAGCCTGGCACGGCCCGAGGCGTGTTGGGCCGTGCCTGGGCCGTGAGTGCGGCACGTGGGCCAGCACGGCACGGCCCGGTGCGTCGGCCGGGCCGTGCCGGCCCGAAAAGCCTCGGCCCAGGCACGGCCGAGCCTGGGCCGTGCCGTGTTGGGCAGCCCACATGGCCATCTATATTAGTAGTACATCGTTTACTCGTTCGGCACTACTCCTGGTCAAGTCAACTATGATGGACCTAAACCCTCATCTCTGACGGGATTGGCCCTGATCAGACATGGGTGGTTAGTGATGACTCCACTCACTTTCGACGGGCAGAGGTAACTGCCACCTCTGATAGCCCTCAAAATACCACCAAACCAAGATGGTTTGCAACTCGTCAGCGGTCACCTCTGACGGGCGGAAAGTTTGCGTCCCATTAGAGGTGGGAAACTTACTCCACACCTGTGTCAGGTGAATCTTCTCTGACGAACTAATATACAATTATGTTGACGAAAAAATCGAACACACCGGCCTGGGAGATCTGCTTAGCTCCAGTGCAGGTCCAAATATGATGAGATGCGGGCGTGCCAGTCAGTTTGATCCTGCAACTGACAAGATATGCAAATAGCAGATCAAAACAGCCGATCGGCTGACAAGCCGATGGAGTAGTTTCAGCCAATAGCCGATAACAGCCGATGCCGATACCAGCCGATAGCGATAGGGTTGAAGCAATCGGCTATATATCCAATATAGATAATGATATAATGGCAATCGGCTGATGATGATATAATAAAATAACAATATAGTCCTATATAAACCAATCGGCTAGCAATGATATGATAAGTAAGCATCGATTCAAAGGTTAAAGTACACATCGGCTGGAGGTCCGATATCATGAAATCCACAAGATTAGATTAAATAGTGAAACCTTTGTTGTCATCGGCTAAATCCAACTTATATGTATATGCAATCATTATGAGCCGATGCAACATCCAGATTACTCACTGGCTGAAACCCCGATGAAACCCTTATTGGCAATCAAGAAGCAGGCTAGAGATTATGGTTCTAATCCCGACTTAGTAGATCAAACTTAACTGATGCAACACTAAGTATGAAAAGAAACATAATACCTAGACAATCAAGCCATTGACTGAGTTTTTAGGGTGGTAGATGTCTAAGCTAATCTAATCTAGCAACGCGATTTAGCCGATACCGGCAAAAACCCTAAAACGAGAAGCAGCCGATTGAGCTAAATTGACATGCTAAGACTAGATTAACAGAGACATATGATAAAATAGGTAGGCAAATATATCATCCAAACCAGTGCAATCCGAGAGGTCGAATGTACTGTTGCAGCCTTGAACGACGCCGACGTAGACGATACAATTGCCTGGACCGGCGGAACATTGGACTTATCCCTTTGCCGGAGATCGAAGACGATGTAGCCCCGCGTCGGGTGCCAAGTCCCACCGGAACGTAAAAACAAAAGTAGAAGTAAAAAGGGTGGCGATGCGCCGAATTGTATTGATCGTGAAGATAGATTACAATGTCCCCGGGTGTACTTATTTATACCCATAGGGAGATACTAGTCCTTGTCGGATAAGAAAGAAACTAAAAAGGAAAAGATAAAGTCCTTATAGGACACTAAAGACACTTTCCTAAAGATAAAAGGAAACTAACAAACTATTCTTAATTAATAGATAAACTTCCATGCCACATTCTCTTTAAACTCGGTCACTTAGGGATAAGCTTCCTTTAGTAGATTGATTTCCTTAACCGAATATAGCAGGAATCCGACTATTGGCGACTTGATAACTCCCATCGGCTGATTCCGAGATGCTGCAGCCGATAATGATTTTAAACCGATGGTAACTTTGGGCTTACCAAATTTCACTGTTAACAAATTGCCGTCACAGGTGATGCTATCTATGACTGGTGTATTTATTCACTCGTTAGTGATTAGGTTTTTAAAAAAAATCTAAAATTTGGTTAGCCTCAGGAATTATTAGCCATGCCTTATGAAAAAAACAGATGCACAGATATCATAGTTTTTTTTCCCAATTCATCGCAAATGCATCACAAAATTAACATAATAAACATTCATTTCAAAATCCCACACAAAGTTACATTCACAATCACATATTTCCAATGCACATGGCTACCTCACATTTCATTTGAGCCTATGAAGCCACAAACTTACCAAATTTCTTCTAAGCTCGTGAAACCACAAACTTACCCAAATTACTCGAAGACAATGCTTTTTGAAGAAGAACGGCGACTTGTCATTTAAAAAAGGGGATAAAACAATTGAATGGAACAATTTAGTAAGTAATAAGTAGATACAAGGCATAATAATGAATTTTGATGATATATTGTTCATTTTTTATGATAATATAATTTGGCAAACTACCTCAAATTGTTAAAAAAAAAACAGAATACAAGGTTCTGTATGCACTAATCCAACCAAACAAACTTAGGATCCTTAGCTCCTTTCATTTTGTGATGACTTCATAACCAAGGAACTAACTACAAATAAGTTACTAAATATATATTTTTGTAAACTATCTCAAATTATGAAAAAAAGATAGAATACGAGGTTCTCTAGGACCGAAGAAGGTGTCTTAGTCTGTAAGTATATGTACTGACTCGTGCAAACAACTTTCGGACCCTGAGCACCTCATATCTTGTGATGATTTGATAATCAATGAACTAACCACAAGAAAACTTACGAAATAAGCAATTTCTAGAATACGAGGTGCTCGGGGCCCCAAGGTGTCTAAGTGTGTTAGATACCTTGTGACCCAAAGCACCCCCCCATTTGATGATACATTGTTGAAATTATCAATAAAATGATGAATACGAGGTATTCGGTGATCCGAGGTGTCTTAGTTCACAATTGATGATACATAGTGTCATGGTTATGGATAAGCCCCGTCGACACATAGGTTTTCACAATTTTTGCATGAAGTTCATCTAGACCTTCCAAATCAATGATATTCTGGCCAATTTCATTGAAGAAGGAGTACAATCGCATTAATATGAATGTAGTGTTGGGTTATTGGCCTTTTTAATGCACTACCTCTGGTCTTACTATGCCACCCTATGGGTCAATTTTCATGGGTCAACTTACCTCCCTGGTTTGGCCGCAATGGACCCAGGAGCCAAAATATGTGCAGCTTCTAGGGTGAACCTAGCAAACAACAGTATGTGTATTATATATATGAACTATATGTATTTCATCTATATCTTGTTATGTATTTCAGCTGCCTAATGAAAAATTGTTTGAAAAATACTCTTTGGAAACAATACTTTGAATAACAAAACAAATTAGTCGAATATACAAACTATCCATGCCGGGGCGTAGCCTTCCGTATTCCTATGGGAATAGATTCTACTTTTCTTTCATTTTTTTTATTTATATGGAGAGCGGATCCTTTGAGTACGAGGTTGCGTACTTGGGCCAAGGTGGAACGGAAGACGGCAACAAAGTGGAGGCAATAGAAAAGTGAACTGAATAGCAACAATTAATTTCTGAAGGCTCTGAAAGTGGATTAATTAGTGGCATGTAATATTTTCAGGTTAACTTTCTTAATTTGAATAAAAGATTAGACGTTGTAGTTAGTGGAATTGATGAACAACTAACCTCATTTTTCATAAAGCATGTGCAACGTTTGAATGACAACTGCTTCGATATTTTTTAGCATAGGTACATCAGAAATTCATTTTTTTTCTAAAATATGTTTGTATTGATTCATCTTGAATATTTGATGGAAAATAGATCCTAACTGTTTATTGATCTATGATGTACTACCTCTGACATAAAATAAAGGATTTTTCAGCACCTAAACTAGTATAAATATTTTTAGTTATGTATCTGTACTAAGATTCTTATATTTGTCGACCGATGTAGTATAAATGTGCAGTGTTTCTTCAACGCGAGAACAGTTATTGTCATCATCTTATAGTCTCACTACCAGTAGTCTAACGTGTGTGTGCCTTGTGTTTGGATTGTATTTTCTTGTTTTACCATAGTGCGGATTGTAGAGATTTAAATA